TAGTTATATAATATATATATATATATATATATATATATATGTATATATAATATATTATAAATTGTAATTTTTGAAACATTAAATTTTAAACATTAAAGTAGATATTTTAATCTTTGATTAAAATATGATATGTTTATATTATCTTTAATTTTTCATAAAAAAATTAATTTTATTATTAATTATATTTGAAAAACTATTTATAATATTATAAAAATGTATAAAATAAATAATTATAGTTGATATTCAAATATCATTAATATTTTAAAATATAAATTATTTTATTATAATTTAGGATTTCAATGCTTTATATTTAAGTTTATATTATATTTAAATTTTTTTCAATATTCTATAGACAGATAGCAATGAAAAAATATACTGATTTCGCGCTTATTTTCGACGCACATGTTATGTTGCCGAATTTTACCGAAGTTCATCGAATTTTATCGAAATTTCACGAAGTAATACGATCAAACACGAAATTCATGACAGTCGCAAATCTTATATAAAGTCGAAAATATTTTCATAATTTCTTTAAAAAAATGTTATAAAGTAATTAAATATATATGATGAACAACATATATTGACATATCAATTATTTTATCAATAAACTTTTTCTTTGATTTATAATTTCATGTATTTCATCATAAATATTTTTATTTAAAAAAAACATAATAAAATTTCATTTATTCATTCATTTTATTATTCATTTATTCTATCTATTTAATTGAATTTATTTATTTATTTAGTCTAAATAATTTATTTAGCATGTTTAATTAATCTCGAATATCCTGTATATTACTATATATTTTGTTTAATACATTTTCTGTAAATGAAATAAAAATATTTTTCGTAAATGCAATGAAAATATAAAAAGTATTGAATATATTCTAAAAAAAAAAATAAGTGTAGATAATACATCTAATTTCTGACCATTTGTCGTTGCTTTTTAGTAGTTTTTCATAGTTAAACCGGCCATTAGATACAATACAATCAATTGTGTATTGTTTGCAATTCAACACTTTTCTTAACGTAAGTATGTATTTAGATTCCAGTGAAACAATTTTTTATAAAGTAAAACATACTATATGTCGCATGCGCGACGCGTGCCAATTTTCTTCATTATCCTCTAGCTTGTTATTAGCTAACATCAGCACGTGACGATAACGTGACGATAACATTTTTTTCTTTTATGTCTTAAAGAAACATTAAGACAATATTTCAGCAGGAAAATCTGGGATTCTCAGTTTGGTTTGATATTGATTTTATATTTTATGATTAAAAAAATACTTCATAATTAGATGGCTTAAACATCATTTTAATTATTGTAATAATTATAACATTGTTGTTATAATGTTGTTAAAATAAGGACAAAAATATCTACAAAATCTTCATTTTATACGCAATATATTAGCAAAGCAATGATATCAATAATAATTCTTTTAAATATTCTTAGAAAGTTGATTTCTTAATAGATTATTCATAAGAATAAATAATAATAACAAACTTGATAAGTAGTGACTTTTTGAGAAACTCATTCAAATTTAGATTATTATATTCATAGATAATTAAATCTGCAGAAGTAAATATTTTTCTCTGTAATTTTACCTTATTAGTGTTTCAAGCTATAAATTTTTCAGATTATTCAATGCGTATGAACTTTTTTTATCTATTATGAATTTTCATATTAGAAAATTGAAATTATATGCAGATAAACGATTGTATTTTCATTATATCTTTTTAAAGGAAATATTTACACTTTAAAGTTTTAGATCAATATTAAATTTGAACTTGCTTTTTAAATGCATAAAATATTTGCATTTCATAATAATTTTAATTATATTTTGCTTAAATTTGCAAAATTGAAAAAATGAAAATTGAGAATTTTGATTTCATCTCCTCAAAAAAGATTTTTAATAAAAAAAAAAAAATTTCTCTGTGTATTCTATCATATTCTATCATATTCTACATGTACAATTTTCATTTAATCAGAATTTTAGAATTAGATGAATTTCTTTTTTAAAATAGAATCTTTGTAAAATATTTTTGTGATATATAAATAAAGTTTCATATGTGAAACTTTATTTATATCATACCTTTTTTTTAAATATTTAAAATTAAAATGGCTGTATCGATAAAATAAATATTAGATATTCTATATATACAAATTAATAGGTCCATCAATTTCGTTTTTCATTTAATAAATTTTGTTATTTGAATTATTTTATACAATTTATTTATTACTAGTTGTGTTTTTCAAATACTGAACTTGAAACATGAAACTTTACAAAATATATGTGTATATAGTCTTTCTGCCTTCTTTATTTCGAGAAAACGAGAAATATATGTAACTTCGACAAATCTGACCTTAAATATTTACTAGGACGATATGTTTCATTGTGTCAATGAAACAATTCAATCAACTTCTTATGTATACAAAAGATATATATGATAATGGTATATATATTTTCAAAATCAGAAAATCAAAGTTCCTCAATTTGTTATAATTTCATATTTAATTTTTATAAATTTTATCGTTTTTCTATCTATGACTCAGATTGATTACGTAATTACTCGTTATTAATTGCTATCAATAAAAAGTAATTTGCAAGTATATAAGCATAAAAATCAATAAATAGTTTATTGAATAAAAAAAAAATTAAAAATTAAAAATAAATAGAAAAAATTATCGTACTTTTTTTCTCTTATGATTCATATATGTATATCAGATAAATTATTTAGATTAGTATATGCATAAAAAATATATTAATTAAATTTTTTCAAACCTTCAAGATGTAAAATCGTCATCATGTTATATATATATTTATATATTTATATTGAGATGCTGTTTCATTTTTTACTGATTAATAATATGAGATATCTTTCACAATAACGAAAACAGAAAATAATTGATTAAATTTAAAAACAAATTATTTGCCATCGATGTTTGTCTTATGTTGATATAAAATGATTGCGTTTACCGCGACACGGCGGATTATTCATTAACGACGAAGGAAAAAAATTAATAAATCAATATAATATAATATCGATTATGCGTTACTAATCATTTATCTGTTGCATATTGACAATCGAACACCGATACAATATGTACAACTGATCATCGACAGCGTAAATATCTCATTAGCGAATTTATATGAGAATTATAAGATAATGAGAGATAACCCTGATCGTCTGTCATGACACGCGACATTGTCATAAAAAGAGAGGGAGAAAAGAGGAGAAAAAAGAGAGGAAACGAATAGTGAGGATGAAGAAAGAGGAAACGATATATATTTACGTATGGTAACGGTAAAATGATTATGTTTTTGACAGTGGAAATGGTAACTGTGTAGTGACGATAATGATGGTAGTTGTGATTGTGGTGATGTATACGGGCAACCGTATGATGTACGTTGGATGACTAAAAGGTCGCGGCCCCGTCATTGATACGGATGGAGAGAGCGCACTTTGGACCAATTCCTCGCGACAGCTAACTCAAATAAACTCAGGGGAACGCGGCGTTACTACTTCAGTGCTACTTTGGCCACACACCGCGGCACAGTCGCATTGACCAATCAATTATTCTCTTGTTTTCATCTATTAAGAGATCTTTCTTCCTCTCTTTTTCTTTCAAGCTTTCACTCATTACTATTATTCCTTTATCCCGAATAAATCAATTTGTATCACGCATTATTTCCTCTATTATTTTTTCTCTCTTATTCATTATCCTTTTTATTATTTCTCTTCTCCATTCAAATTACCCTTGTGCATAAAATAAAGGAACGAACTAATTCACTGTGACTTAACCACGCACAGATAATCAGGGTTCACGATAGAACGTTCATTTGCACTACTTGAAAAAAGAAATAGAGAAGAAACGAAGACATCGGGCGAAAATAAACGAGACCAAACGAAACTAGACGAGACGGAACATCGGAACTATTCTGCCCGCGAGTACGCGATACTAAGCTGCCCAACTATAAAGGAAACAACACAAGGAACAGCGAAGTGTTGTCTCTCGCGCGGCACTCGACAACGAGGAGAGACTACTAGTTAGACCGAACAACTAACTGACGCGGTTCTCCTTCAACTTCAGTTTCGCATGCACACGTGATCGCACGTGATATACGACACTTCGTATAGAATAGCGCTGTTGAACCGGTGGCCGCGCGTATAGAACACGAATTGAAGAGAAAGAGAAGAGACATTCGTGTGTGGAGTCGCGCGACACTATTATACATTCGCGGTGTCTTTTTTTTCTTCTTCCACGGATTACACGGTTTGACATAGGTGATCAGAGAATATCAAAATGTCTACAGAACCTGGTAGTTTCACCTCCAACGGGAGCATGATCGTCGTGAGCAACAGGTTGCCGTTCGTGCTGAAGAGGAATGAAATAACCGGTCAACTGGAACGCAAGGCCAGGTTAGTATATTAAAATAGATGATTTTTTATTTTTTTTTATTTTCTTATTTTTTTTTTACTCATAAATGTTATTATGCATGCATCATGTTATACTATTTTTCCTTTGTATTTACCTGACATAGATGCGTAAACGAATTTCGCGGCTGCACGTTGAACGCACGCCGCTCGTGGTCATTGCAATGCGATCCGATCACAGACAGAACGTGATATTACTTCATCGTTATTATGCATATCCTCGAATGACCCAATTTTTTACTGCGATTTTTTATCTTCATTCTTTTTTCATTTAATTTTCCTTATTTTCATTTTGGATATATCAATTCTTTGTCTTATTATTATCTAGTTACAAATTTAACGAATAATAAATTATATTTTTAATAAATTTTTATTTTTGTACAAAATTTTAATTTCAACGTACAAAATGTATACAGGATTTTAAAATTTTGCATTTATTCTAACAAATATAAAAAAAAATCACTATCGAATAATATATAAGATATTATTAAGAGACTTATACAATGAACGTAAACGGTAGTATTCTTTCGAATGAATATTTGATCACGTGGTAATTTATTCTATTGCGTAAACAAATCGATAGAAATATCAGCAAACATGTTGACGTAAAACAAGGAGAAAACATATTGAATTGTGAATCTCTTGTTCATATATCTTTTGATTTATTAAATCTATTTATTAATATATCCATCGAAAATATTGATATTGTGAAAATTTTATTTCCATATTTATTAGGAAATATCTGAAAGTAAATATAGTTCCATGACACTTTTTTTTTTGCTATTCAAATTGATTGGAGAATTGAGAAGAGATTGAATTAAAGAAAATTGACTAATTGAATTCATTGTCATTGATTAATTGAATCGATTGAAGAAAAGAGATTATTTAATATTTGGTAACAGTAATCGATTACCTTTTATTATTATATTGCTAGAAGTTTATTCTGGTTCTCTTTACTAGTGTTATTGGCTGGTAATTGAACATAATCGACAGAGTTATTCGATAAATCGTTTTGTTTATGTACCGTTAAGAACAATTAAAGTATGTCTCTCTTTGATGGATGATAGATCTTTATTCAAATATATTTGCATTTTCAATAATATTTTTAATTAAAGATGAATAAATGAATTTAAATTTATTTTGTTAATTTAAAATGCAACCATATTTAATTTAATATCTTTTTTGTTAAATAATATTTATTATTTCACAATTCTATAATTTGAATTCTAATCATAATTTAAATAATTTAAATAATAAACAAAATTATTTTAAAAAAGCAAATATATTATTTACATATTGTATTTATATAATAGTATACAGATATTATATATATAAAATTTATATATATATTTATAAATTGATTCATTTACACAGTAATTTTTCAGTTTTTTTAATATCCAACATTTTTATTAAATTATGTTACAATCGAAAAAATATATAAATATTATACATATCTGTATTAAAATTGATAAAAATCAAATAAAACAAAAACTGAAATAATTTCAATTATAACCAGTTGAAATACCATTGAATGGACAATCTTTTAATTAAATAAAATTTCTTATAATTTTTTGATCATGCTCTACGCAATATATTTTTTCCCTTTTATTCGCATATTGACGTCAATCAATTAAAATTAATCGTTAATTGTGACTTAACATCTGATATATATCGATCTTGCATTCGTAATGTTTATTTATGGTCCGCGAATAAATAGTTCGCGATTACACATTGCGCGTGGAGTTATGTTGGAAACAATTGCTCTTCTAAATACATATATAGACTAAAGAAACTGACGAAATTTTTCATAAGAATACGTTTCGTGGAATTCGATGTTTCACCCTTGGAATCGATCCAATCCCTCGACCCATTAACTCACCCTATTTCCAAGAGTTTGGAATTCCTGTTCGCAGTGATGGAAATCTGTGAATAAAAAAAATACCATACTATTGAGAACATAATAATTGTTATCGATTTCTGTTTAATACAAAAAAAAAAAGTATCATTACTTTTGAGAATTTGTTGCTATAAATTTCATATTTACATACATGTACACATATACATATATATAGACATTCGTGAATAATAAAGCATTAAATCTGTTTCATATCTTTTTTTTTTAGTGTTATTTATATTTTTATAAAAAAGTAAAATTTGTTTATATAAATATACAAATTTGTTTTATATAAATTTAAGTACTAAAATGAATATTGACTTAACAATATAATATTTTCGGTATTATATATATGTTGAGTCATTTATTTATTGATGAGAAACAAAGCTACTTTTTTGGAATCTTTTGGAATATGTAAATATATAACAAAAAAAAATGATAGATACTAAGTATGAAGTTAAAATAGCTATCATTGTAATTTCGTCGAAGGATTATTTTATATTTAATTTCTATATTTTATATAGATATTTCGAATCGCAAGCTCGTTATAGGTTAGGATTCCATTTTATATCAGGAAAAAATATTCTTGAAAATGTATTTCAATGTCATTGAAAATAACTAATTTAATAAATTCATAAAAGTCGTTCAAAATATTGTGTTTTATAATATATTTCAAACTTACTAAAATTTATAAAAAAGTTTTTTAACAAATTCATCTACTGGACATATTGTCAATTACTTGCTGTGTTTATAAAAACAATGTTTATAGTTATAATTGCATATGTTGTCACGAACTCATAGGAAAAATTATATAGCATCAAGTTTTTTATGTATATAAGTAGAAAATTAAAGCTGATCACAAATTATGTGCAAAGGAAAAAATTGGTTAAAAAGATAATATTTTTACAACATATTTTATTTAAAATATTAGATGAAAAGAGAGCTAATCGATAGATACCGTAAAACTTTTTTAACTTTGTTGATATTTTTCGGATGATTTGAAACGATGCAATATTTTTTGAGATTACAAAAAACTTGTAATAAAAAAATGATTAAAAAATAATGATAAGATATAAAAATAAAAATAAATAATTACTATATTATTTTTCAAAAGATATCCAAAAAATCAAAAAATATTGAGAATAAATTTAAAAAATATGATTTTTAAAATTTAAATTTTCATTATTGTTTATTTAATCGTTGTTTTCAATACTAATTCTTACATTGTGATATTCTTTATAAGATTCTTTAAATATCAAGATGTTTCATTGTTTGTAATCGATTTTAATCGATCTTTATTAGATCAAAAGAATGAGAAGGTGTTATTTATTGTATCTTTGTATATTTCGAAACACATATTAGTTGGCAAATACAGTTGTTATCAGTTTCCAGTGACATAAGTCGTGAATTTTATCTGATTATTTTCGTGAATCACGGTATCTATTGATACTGTTTCTAATAAATATCATCAATAAAAAATAACAAAGTGTGCGTGACTAGGAATTGAAATAATAATCATGTCACAATACAGATAAAAATATCTCCGCTTTTCATTCAGTCTTTTCATGTATTCAAGAAAATAAATTGTTTTTAAAAACAGATCTAATCTAATCGCATTCATAAAATATAGACAATGAAAATACTTCAGTCTAAAAATATTTGATCTTGTAATTATTCTTAATTATCATTATTAATTGAAATCTTAACTCTATAATACTTGACAAGTACATACACTTTCTGTTAAAATGTTAGGATATTTATAGAAAATGATTGAATAAACTTGAAAAATCTCTAAGAAAAAAATCATAATGTTTTATAATTATTATTAAGTTCATTATTCTGCTCTATAAAGAATATATTCTATGTAGATATCTTATGTTATGACAAACCTTGCTATTTATATGTATAATAAAATTAAATTTTCTTTTCATAAATACTTTTGTTAATACGATATAAGCGTAGAAATTAATTAAACTGGATTACTACGTTCTATTCAAAACGAACAAATATTATCCTAATATTTGCTTTTTGAGATATGTAGATATATATTTCAGTTTCAATTTTTAAAAAATAATAAAAATAAAAAATACAAAATACGTATAATATGTATGTTATATTATGTATATTAGTATATAATTTAAATTTACTTAAACAGCTCCTAAGAAAACTATAAAAAGTAAAAAATTCGTTATTTAATATTAATTTATGCCAAATGATTGAATTATCTTGTGATCAATAAAAAGTAATAAAGCATGCTATGTATTTATTATTATTTTTTTAAACAATTTTTTTTTTTTCAAAAATTTTTTTAAGAATATTTTTCTTCATTTTTTTTTTGTTCTATTATTTTTCTTAAAATATCTATTATACATTTTCTACACATAATACACAAGTTTATACAGCACTGAAAGATATTATAGAATGTATAGACTGTTTTACTTAATATATACAATATTGAGTTAGTCATGATTGCCAAGAAACAAGATTAAAGACCTCAGTCTAAAATAATGCATTTGAAAAGAAAAAAAATGAAAGAATTTTAATTCTATACTTCTCTTGTATAATATTGTGTGATTATTAATATATTAATATATTAATATATTCACAATTGTCACAAAATTAAACTTATAATTAGTTAATATAGATAAATGATGTATTATCATATCGTTGCGAGATATTATATAATTTTACGAATTTAAATATAATTATTAATAATTTAATAATATAACATAACATATATGAATTAAATTACAGTACAACAGAATTACAACAGAGTGCAACATTCTATTGATGAAATAGTGTGATTTGTCTTTTAGTGGGATCACACGATCATGCATTGCGTCATTAGAAATATAAAGTCAAAAATACTCTAAATATGTCAATCAAAATCAAATTGCATAACATCAATGACGTGAAATTATAATAATACGATATCTTGCTATATAGAATTGGTAAAATTAAACTAATAGTTATATTGGTAGTAGAAAATCATATTTACAATTTTTGCAAATAAAATATATTTTTATTAAGAAAAAGAATTTTAAAATTTATATTAAATAAGTCATTTTGTTATATGTATAATCAAATTTTA